CTATTTATGACAAGAAAGTCTGAAATAAGGAATGTGGAACTAGAATGTTCCGTCAACCGCATAAAACTACTATTCACATCATTTCTGGAATAGAAGAAGCACTGAAACTTATGACTGTATTCGGCAATCTTCTGTGGTAGCAAAATCAGGGTAAATTCTCAATCCAGTTGAGTTCGGGCCGATTAATAATACCATATGGCTAAGATAAATTAGTCAAAGAGAGTAGCACATATGAAAGAGTTAAGAATGTCAAAAAGGCAGGCAACATGTCACAACTATCGGCACGTAAGAACTGATGGTCAACATCTTGAAATGAGTCATTGTTCTTTTTTGGACAAGGTGCCCACTGTACTAACAGTCCTTCTATCGTGCTATTTTTCGAAGCATGAATACAAATGAGTATTCAATGTATATAATGAGAAACTTGAACTCATGACTTCTAGAATAATCATGATAAACAAACAGACAGTATGTATAATTGGATCCTCAACCTTATCTTCTAAAACAGATATTAAAATAAATGCTCATTGGTTACGTTGCTGAGACTATGTTCAAGGTCAGTGAAACAGTAAATAATTCAGGTTGTATATCTGTCTACGTGAAACACATTTTTAAATCACTATATAAATGAATATGAATTATTGTTTTACTTTTGTGGCAATACTTGTGACTCTTTTATTTTTTTTCGCAAAACTGAAGAAACCCAGGTCTAGATAGTGAGTTTCGAAACGACTGGCTTTTAGTGTGCGCGACTGTGGGTCATTATCTAAAGGACTTTTTTAACTAGGCTTTGTCTCGTCTTATGGAATTGTTTCATACTTCCAATTTCGCATTATTTTTAACTTATTAATTAAACTGTGTAATCTTTTTTAGGCATGATTTTCAATGAGCACGTATAGTGCCTGTGGAAAAAGAAATTACAATGTCATAAACAAATGACTAGGATGTTAATGGCGCTCCTCGAAATCTGGCAAAAAATGATGTCGCCGCATATTTCGGGATTTTTCATCATTTTAGACATTATGGAATTTTACATTTGCAATATTTGGGATTTTTGAATGATGAATACTTCAAAACAAGTTCAATTGAAAATATTCTCAGATGATATTAATTTTGAAACGTTTTTAATTCCAATTCACTTGTTTACCAGCCTACATAGTCTTCAAGCTCAAAGTCGTTCAAGATTGCATTATTTCCTTGAAATTTGACTTTATGAGCTACGTGACAGGTGTCATTGTAAGTCTACTCTGCACCAATATTCACATCCACACGCATCAATGTCGTAATTATAAAATCAGACTCATGCGTACATTATTTATTGTCATTCTGCTTATTTGCTCGACGGGCAAACACAAAAACAACCAATAGTACCATATAAGAAAGAGATTGACTCTTCAAGTGTATGTGCAAAATCTAAACCGACTACGAGTACACGAAGCAGAGATCACTGTTGAAAAGATGTTCAACCAGAAGCAAGTAATATGGCAGATATCAAGAACAAAATAATATAACGGTTATTCTAATAAGCTCTGATCAAGAATCAAATATGTTAGCAGTTAACAGTCAATGAATCTATAACAGACTAACACTACTACTAGCAATTATTCTAGTCGCTTATAGAAAAATGCTAGCATCAAATAGTATACTGTTATCCTCTTCAAAAAGGACTTCATAAGAGCAGAACCAAACACTAAGAAATTAGTGCATAGAATCTCTTGTTCTAATTTTCATAAAAACAAGATCGGAGAAAACAGTCAAGAAAAATCAATTCGAATCTAAAAAGATGAAAATCGTATCAGAAACATGAGTAATCTATGATATGCTGCAAAACATCACATCTCGGAAGTTCTGCATTGGATTTTGATAGCTTTGACACGCTAACTTTACAAAATAATTGACTTAGATGTGTGTTTTTAAAAGGTTTTTTAAACAACAAATGTTCACTATAGATTTTTTTTTGATCATTTTCCGATGATGATGCATTCACTGCGTCGAAAGTCTGAATTAACTGTTGTAGTTCTGAATGAAACTCATCATATTCTTCGCAAAAGCTCTAAGCTGTTCCACTTCGTGAAATTTTCTGGTTCATAGACTTTGTGCTACTATCGGCGTCATAAGTCAATGCATTCATACGTTTTTCGAATAACTTTCGATAGAAACAAGACAGAGATCTAGGATTTTCAGCATTGGACAGAGGACAGTCAAGAGAATCTGAGGATCTCAATTTTCGTTGGTCGCATATTGACCAATCATATGCATTTCTTAAGACAAGTTTCGAGAACGAAATTCCAAAGAAATTTTCCATTACATTTTTGTTTATAATATAAACATTCTATACAGAAGCTCATTCTCTTTTTTATCTACGGAAAGTTCATATTGCTAGCATGTTTTGCTCAGAAAATATGAGGGTTTCTCAGAAACCTTGTTTTTCGTAGAGTTGGTCTCTGAGCACTAAACAGTACGTCTGAAACAGGATAATTGGCCATGCTGAGTCCAGAAATGATATTTTTTTCGTTTCAAAGTAATCTAAGATCTGCAGACAGGATTTTCAAAACGCCGACTGTTTCGATACTGTAACGGGAAAGTATGAAGTTTCTAAAAATCTGCTACAGGGATGTTGGCTTACTTTGAAACGAAAAAAATATCACTTCTGGACTCAGCATGGCCAATTATCCTGTTTCAGACGTACTGTTTAGTGCTCAGAGACAACTCTACGAAAAACAAGGTTTCTGGGAAACCCTCATATTTCCTGAGCAAAACATGCTAACAATATGAACTTTTCGTAGAGAAAAAGACAATGAGCTTCTATACAGAATGTTTATATTATAAAATAAAATGTAATGGAAAATTTCTTTGAAGTTTCGTTCTCAAAACTTGCCTTAAGAAATTCACCTGATTGGTCAATTTTCGAACCAACGAAAATTGAGATCCTCAGATTCTCTTGACTGTCCTCTGTCGAATGCTGAAAATCCTAGATCTCTGTCTTGTTTCTATCGAAATTTATTCGAAAAACATTCGAATACACTGACTTCTGGTGCCGATAGTAGTAATCATTTTGGTACAATCACATATGACGAAATATGACGGCATCTAGGAACGTGAATCGTCGATTATTCAAATGATGCGCCGATCATGTTCTTGGATTTAAAATATATGCTGCGATCCATTTATAGTGATAACTACTATAGCATCCTGTAATTTGTAAGTGCTCTACTTCTTATGGTACTAAATAGTAGTTTAGTCTAGCATTGCAGATATCGGAAAATATTCTCCATTGAGCAACACCCAGAAATTTGTTAAGCCTACAGTGATAGGTTATAAATACCTCTCTAGTACTTGCATCCTAAAAGGAACAAAAAACTATGTTAGTTTGAGTCTTTGAAAGCTTCTTGAACCTAAGACCGCGGTCACTTTGCTCTAATTTGATATAACATATTATGAGTCGAAGAACATGATCGATATTGAATTTAATAAATAATTAATCACTTTTGTTTCTAGATGCTGACATATGTTATCAAAATCGAAAGCAATAAATCATGCTGAGGATGAATTCATGAATCTGAAAAGTTTTACTTTCTTTGAAACGGCAGTTTTTTAATCTGATGGAAATTTGTGAGGTTTATCGAACTACAGATGGTTAGGTTATTTTCCGCTGCTGTTCGATAACGCCAGTCTTACACAGGAAAAAGCGGTTTTTTTGTTTTTACTTGAGAGGTTTCATCCACAGTTTGCCGGTAAGCTCTAACAAATCGTGTCATCCAATCAAATCTCCAGAATTCTGTCCGAATTTTACTGATTCTAGTATTGAATGGCTTTGAGTTTTCTGGATTGTAGTTAAAGAATCATCAACAAATTCAAGTTTCATAAAAGAATAATGATAATTTCATAAATTCATCGATTCTGTTTATCAGTATTTTCTATGACGAGTTGACTTACTTATAAATGATCCATATATTTCATTAGTATAAAATCTGGCGCTAGTACATTTCGTCGCACGACACTTCGTCGCGTTCACTTCGTCGCAATCATTTCGTCGCACGATCACTTCGTCGCATAACACTTCGTCGTACGACATTTTGTCGCAGAACATTTTTTTTTCGTTCTGTTTGTCGCAGAACAATTTCTTTCGTTCTGTTCGTTGCAGAACAATTTCTTTCGTTCTGTTCGTTGCAGAATAATTTTTTCTTTCGTTCTGCTTCTTGTATTTCTGTTAATTAGTCCTGTTTTTTTTTTGATAACTAGTCAAAATAAAATAAAGTAAATGAAAAACTCTAAAATATGGGTACAACAAGGACAGACAATTGATTGCTCTAAAACGTATGACTTGAATTCGGAAAATAGATCGATGAAAGGTCTTAACCAAATGTAATTCTGAGACAGTTAAAGTCAGCA